GCAGGACAAGGGTGTGGTGCTGGTGGCCAAGCAGGAAGCAGTGGGGAACATCAGGACAGAGTCGGGGTCATGGCCCAGGAGCAGCTACAGCAGAGCAGGAGGCCGAGGGCAGAGGTTGGTGGGATCACAGCATGACACCCGGGCGAAATGGGTGGGATGAGGACCCTGGTTCTCAGGCGACCCACCAGCAGGGCACCCCGGGAGCTGTGGCATAGCAGCCTCACTGCCTGCCCCCCAGCGGGCCCCTTTCCCATCAGGGCTGGCAGTGCTCCCCGTCAGATACGCTGATACTCGGCGTGCAGTCTGCTTGTACCCTGCTGACCCTGGATACCCAGTCCGTCACCCAGCCCTGCACCTCCGCCTCAGGAGGGGGATTCACCAGCTGGCTCCAGATTGCTGCAAAGATGCTGGGTAGAAAAACTCAGCCAACAGAAGGCGGCAGGAGTCTCCCGCCCACGGAGGGCCCCACCAGGCACTCCATCTCTAGCTGAGTGAGACCACAGGGGCCCAAAGAGACTCCCTGGGGTGGCCACAGTGTTCCCACTGGGGTGTACCTCTTCCCACCAAAGAAACCTGTGCAGCCCCCGCCCCGGGACGAAACTGCTGGGCCCCCGGGGTGGTAACTGCCTTGACGTGTTGGGTGACAGCAGAGGGCTGCTCCGCGTTAGAATATCTGCTTCCACTCTGGGGGCGCTGGGCCCCAGCGGAGGAGGGAACAGATGGGGGAAGGGAGACAGTCCCATGCCACCTGCCTAAGCAAGGCCAGCAGGCCTCTGCAGCAGACATGTGGTCAGCGGTCCAGTTGCTTGATCCCAAGCTCCGGCCTTCGGATTACTGCTGCCTGTCTCCCTTGCACTCTCTGTGTCCGACACGAGACTCTGGCCTGCTGGGAGGCCCTGGCAGGCTGCCACCCTCTTTGGCCTCGGTTTCCCCTCCACAGAGGCCGCCAAGCCTCGAGTGGCCAGCCAGCCCATCTCCCACTTTCAGATCCTCTCCCAGAGGGATGTCCAGACCTGCCACAATGCTGGTGCCCACACTGGTCCTTCCTGAGACCTCCAAGAGCTCCTGAGACCTTCCTGCCCATTCTTGGTACCTCCCTTACCTCCCCCTAGGAGAGGGGTGAGGGTTAAGCACAAAGCTCTTCTCAAAGTGCCGGGCACACCGTGGGCATTGAGATAAAAGTTATTAACGCGATTTTTCTACTCTTTGGAGGATTACAGATTTCCCCAGACCTCTCATTTCCTGAAGCCACAGCAACCACAACCTGCAGAGCGGCCCGCTGGGGCCATCGCATTTTAAGGAGAGTTTCTGAGGCTTTCAGACAAAGAGCAGGGGAGGGCGATGACCAGTGGCTGACGGGCTGACTCAGCAGCGGTAGCTCCCTGCCGGGACTTGTGCAACCTGGGACTGGAGTCAGAGCCACAGACTCCTCTGCTGGCTTTTTGCTTTGAGTTCGTCACTTCCCTTCCACGCCACCCAGCACTCGTACCCAGCTGTGGCCTCCTTCCTGCCCCGGAGCCCTACGGCAGGCACTGCTCACCGCCTGCCTGCACTCAGGCTGGGGAAGAGGCCTCCCTGCAGAGGCTCCTGAGCTGGTGGGCTCCCCTGGAACACGCGGGGG